GCACACCACAATTTTTCCCAGCTTCATTATTGTTGATAGGTGCATGACAAATAAATCGTCTTTCATATTAAAAAATAACCATTTCAATTCATCCAAGTACATATCTACATTTACAATGTGGTCATCGTTTACCGTGATTGACAACTATATTTTTACTAAAATGGTAGACATTAAACTTAAATTTAAAAGTACAATTAAAAGTAGATATTGATTGATTAAATTAAGTAAAAATTGGTGAAAAAGATGATAAAATGTAACTACTTTTTCATTTTCCACTGTGGAATTGCATATATATATATATATATATATATATATATATATATATATATATATATATATATATATATATGTATATATATATGTATATATATATGTATATATATATATATATATATATATATATATATATATATATATATATATATATATATATATATATTTATGTATGTATATTAGGGTAGGCCAAAAACAAAATTTTTTGAAAATTTCACTTTTCTGCAAAGAAACACGCTTCTTCACACATAAGAATATAAATTATATAAAAACATTGAATGCTGCCAAATTTGGTTTCATTATTTTCATTTTTAACCTAAAATACATTGAAATTAAAATTTTGTAGGAAAGACAACACTTAGTGGAACAATATTTTTTATTTAGTGGAACAATAATAGTTTTTATTTCTAATATTTTTTCATTAAAATACATAACTATCTTCTAATTCAGGATATTTTATCCTATAAAAAAAGTGTTATAAAAGCAGTTATTTGTACTGCGCTAAATCAGTAAATAACCGCTTCTTATTTATTTTGCCAACAATTTTCTGTGATTTTCTGCCATATTAAAAACATTGTTTTATACAGCTTCATCCTAAAGAATAGAAATATTTCAATCATTAAAAACATTAATTCAATTTGTTTTAAATGTTTTGTTTTGTTTGTGTTGATTTTTTTTCTAAATTATTAATAAATTTTCTGGTATACCTTTAAAAGTATTTGAAAGTAATAGGAACACAACTTGATTTCTCTCTCAACCTCGTCGTTAGTTACCTTCAAAGTTTTGACAAATTGCTTCATCTTCTAATAGTTAGTAATCTTGTCCCATTCTGATGAAGGAGTTTTGAGCCATTTTCCATCATCTTTTAAGTTATGAAAAATCAACCAAGACTTTTTACCATTATAAGAAAATATATCAGAATTTTTTTTAATCAATGGAAGTGTTGATACCCACTATTGATACTAAGTGGTTTTCCATAATCTAATTTTTTTTTTTTTTTTGGCAATTCTTTTATCATTTAGAGAAAGTTTGTTTGAAAATAAACTTAATACTTCTTGGTTAGATACCTTGAGTGTTATTTAAAACTTGTTGGTCATTTTCAATGGCCACACAGAAGTTTGGTATTCTTTTAAGAGTTTCTAGGTCGTTAAATAACTCTATATCATTAATTGGTGCATCACTAGCTTTTGATGCTTCTAACCAAGCTTTAATGTAAATGGCTAAGCTGAAAGTCAAAAATATTTTTAATTTGCTTAAATCAGATTCCATTGATTCATCTTTAGAGATTATTATCTTTGGTGCGTACAGTAAATGCGCCATTCATCTGACATGATGACTAGCACCACATGTTTTCCATTTCTTAGGTTCATATCCACCTAGGGGGGCATCCATAAATATTTATCTATATTTATCCATAATATCAATAATATTTAAATTTTGTTTTAAACTCTGAAATTATTCTTCTTGACATAATTTACCTGTTTTGCTTACGTGCTCTTCTAATTATATTTATTGAAATGTTCACTTCTTTAGCTTTAACACCACCTAAAAACATATTTTTGAGTTTCTTATGCTTATCAAAAATAAAAGCAATTTAAAAACAAAAACTAAACAAAAATCTAGAACCACGATTGCAGAAGTATTCATCATTAGCCGTGCATTTGATAATTTAGATCTGTCAGCTGTTGCTGTTATCATTGGATGATAAATAAAGTTTCTTGGTAAAGTTAAATTTATATTTTGTGACACAACATCTTTTAGATGATTTTGTTATTTACTTATTTTTTTAATTTTTTTTTTTTTATTGTTTTAATTTTTCTTATTGTTTTTATTGTTTTAATGTTATTTACTGATTAATTTTAGAAGAGCTCTGAAAATCAGAGTGCTCAGACCATCAAGACCCAACAACAAATTTTTTCAGTTGAGTCACAACAACAAATTTTTTCAGTTGAGTCACTACTATTATCAATGTTAAAATCAGTTTCATTGTTGAATTTTTGTCTCTTTTCTTTATCGTTTTTTGATTTTTCTTTTCCTTTTTAAGCTCAATTAAAATAAATTATGTCTCCCACCTATTCCTCCAGTTTTAACTTTACATTTGAGAGCTGCAAACCAGACAATATCTTCTTCTGCATCTTTAAATGGTCTGGTTTTTTTAACATAATCTTTCCAATTTGGAGAACTGATATAAAAAATTTCATCCATTATTTTTTTGAAATCTTAAACAAGTAAATCTTTTTTTGAGAGTTGTTTACATTTAGACTTTGCAAGCTTTCTCCATTATCATGAAGGTTTCTTTCTTGCAAGGAATATCAGCTTTATCCCAAAATGTTTAAACAGTTTTTATTGTTAGTTTAGTAGCTAACTTTAATTTTGAAATATCGCTTTTAATATTTAATTCTTTTTTATATTTGGAAAAAATATGAAATAAATTGTTATCATTTTTAAGTGATTTGTAGACATCACGAGTAGTAGTCAGAGAACTGGTATTATTATCTTCAATTGGGTATCAAGCTAACCAAATTTCATCTGATGATTTCAATGTTTTTGTTTAATTCTTTTTTATTGACTCCACCAGATTGATTTTTGTCGATTTATATTTCTTTTGTATAAGAGATGTCTTAAAGAGAGTTTTAAGAGATGCCATTTTTAAAATCTTTTGTATAAGAGATGCCATTTTTAAAATGAATTAAGACTTTTATGACTAATAGAAAAATAACAATTAAAACATGATGATTGATTTTTCTACTTTAAAACGAAGGCAAAAGTTAATATAGCTGCAGAATTCATTTTTTATAACAATACTTCAATTAGTATTATAATATAAATTTTTTCAGTAACAACTATTTAAAAATTGGAAACTTTCTTACAAAAAAAAAATTAATATTGTTATACATTATTGTTATTTAAAATAACAGTTATATCTAGTTTTATTAATTTGTTAAAATACAAGCTACGATAAGCATATTGATTAGTATAAAATCTTATTCATTCTTGATACAAATGCACTTTTCTAATTGATTAGTTTAAATTATCAATTAACAACACAAGTAAATTTATATTGAAACAACTTTTTCAGTTTAAAAATCGAAATAATGTCAAATGATTTGTCTATCGGTTTCACAATCTTTGCATTACCATATTAGTACTTTTTGAAACTTTTTTTTCAAAATAAGTGTAATGTAACTATTTATTTCTGCAATTTATAAAATTTAATTGTTTTATTTAATAATACATTTTCAAAACAAATTTTAGTAAAATAGGATTTAAAATTAAAACAGGGTTTAATGAAACAGAATTTGCTTTTATTAAATATTTTGTTATAAAAACATTCTTGTACACAGTGCAAGTAAAGTAATCATATGTCACAACGATTTATAGATTCTGATTGATTCTTTTGTGTTCATGTATAATAATTGGTACACTAGTAACTCCCTATAGACATTAATAACGACTAGTATGCATTATTAACGATTGGTATAATTTAATCTGTACATTATTAATGATTAGTACTCTTTTTTTTTTTTTTTTAGTACTCTTAGAAAACTTTTTTCTTTTAGACATTATTTTTGCACATATAACCTGTAACACTAAACTCAAGAGAGAGATTTTACAAAAAAGAGTAACAAATAGTTTAAGAATATAAAGGCTATTTAATTTATTGTAATATTTAGTATAAATATTGAGTTAAATAAAAGTATATATGCAAAAAATATATTATCTTTCTATAAACTAATGATAATTAGCATTACATGATACCAGATGCAAACTTAAAACATTTAAAGATATTTTGTAAAGGTGCTATTCTCAAAAACAAAAATTAAAATTAAAATGGAACATTTTTTAGAGCAGAGATAAAATTATTTTGGTCTAGCATTTATAAGTAAACAAAACAAAAGAAACAATGATGTCAAGAAAATACCAAATCATTTAAATAACAGGAACTGATTTCACTTGGATAAAAAAAAGCTTGATTACAAGCTCTATAATAATAACTTATTATATTCATTTATGAAAGTTTGAAACATAATAAACTTTCCAATTGCATAAATTTATAAAGCAATTTAAAATTATTTTTTCTAGATTTGATATACTGTAAAGAGTACGAAGCAACAATGGCACCTAATTTAAGTCTTCTGAATTTTAGGAACTTAAAGAATTTCAGGAACTTAACGTAAGGAGTCACTGTATATATTTAGGTGCCTGCATCATTAACAGTTAAATGGAATGACTGAGGGACATACAAGTAGCAAAGAACTTTCTAACTAATGCAACATGGTCAATAAAAGATTTGTTCATAGGTCTACTAGAAGTGAAGCTAATCTGTTAAAAGTTTCACATCACCAGCTCTACAACTACTACTAAGTGAAGAAAATTGAAATTCGTGCTTTCAACGTCTCTGCTACTACTTAATGTAAATCAAATTGACTTGAATAAATTTCAATTTTAATCAGGAAAAAGCAAAAATTTACAAAACAAATAAAAAGAAAAACATGAAAAAACATTAGAAAAATTAAGCGATTAAGTTTAAGTACATGATAGTAATAAATTTTACTTATTAAAATTGAAAAAGGTGCATTTTAACAAGTTTTATTGACTAAAGTGTCTTTTTTTTTTTTTTTCAAAAATTATTTTCTTTTTTTTAAAAAAAAAGATGGTTAGTTAAATTTAATATATTGGACTACTTATAATTATAGCGATATTTATATATCTATACGTTCCTCTAGATTAATCTTTGGGACACTGCCGGACTAGAAGTTGCAGGATATATGACAAGTAACTATTACCGATTCAGCAAAGGTGTTGTTTTGGTGTATGACGTAAAAGATCGAGATACTCTTAGCTGTTTAAATGCGTGGATAGATGATTCAAAACCTTATATTCCCGAGCATGCTCCTTTTTTTTTACTTGGCAATAAAATTGATAGTTTTGCGTCTGAAATTGAAGTAACAAAACAAGATGCTGTTAATTTTGCAAGAAACAATAGAATACCTGATGAGCATGTTTTTGAAATATCTGTTAAATCAGGTAGAGGCTTTAAAGATTTTATAGATTCTGTTGCAAATATACTTAGTCGTGATGAAAATCATGTTGTTGATGATGCGAATAATGTTAGAGTTAAAAAAAATCAGAATAAATTTTTTGGTTGTTGTTAATTTTTTTATTTTTACTTTTTATTTTTTTACAAATGTTTTATACTTTTTGTTCTTATTAGAGTTATTTTTTGTATTTAATATCATTGAAATATTTTTCATAAAAGATTTTCTATTTTTATTATAATTGAGTTTTTTTTTTATCATCGTTGATATTATTTTATTTAGTAATATGTTTTTAAACATAAGTTTTTCTAATTTTAGAATTCATTTTTTTAAATAATTTAATATGAATAATTTAAAGTAATTAGTTTTTTTTTTTTTTTTTAAATCGTAATTATACATAAGATGTATAATTAAGATCCCACAAAGATTTTTTGTTTTAACGCAATTTTGTGTGTAATTCTTTATGAAAATAAAAAGCCTTTCGAAATTTTTTTACATTAGACTACACACTTTGTGTTTTAATGTTAAATATGAAAATTTCTTGTTTAAATAGCGTGATGTATGTGTTCCCAAAAAAAAAATTTTTTTTTCTAGTAGCGTAACGCATTGAATTATATTCTGACTAAAAAACAATATGGCGACACCGAAACGGTACGCTTCTACTAAATGTAGTTAGGGTTAACCATGGAAGTATAAAACAGATGGAAGTTCATTAGTCTCTAGTAGCCCACTGATACGATATGCGTATACTTTTTAAATGTTAATAGCCAGCATTTTATATTATAAACCACGAGTTTCTAAATTAATTATTTTAACCAAGGAGTTATAATAGACCAGCTAAAGAAAGAACGAAGCAAAAAAATCCTTCAAATTTGTAGTATAATCTTAGTAGTATAATTTTTCCAGCTGCAAGTCAAAACGACGCCTTTGCGTTGAAAACAGTAAATTTAGTTTATAACCTAAGAAAACGTAGTTAATAACCTTTGAAAGCAGTAATCAGTGGTGTTTTGGCGCCAGAACGCACCGGTGCTTTTATGCTATTCCCGGAACGCGTTCCGCTACTTTATACGAAAATATTAATTTTATAATTTTTATTTGCTATAAAATAAACTTTCATTATTTTAAACTACAATAAGTTTCTAACTGCCTTTTTAAGTTTTTCTATCAGCTCAAGAAACTTATTTTTATAGAATATTTACCCAGGGCCGGCGCGAAAAGGGGTTGGGTGGGTGTGTGTATGCCTACAAAATTTTTGTTGACCAAAAAAGAAATCCCTCATCTTTTGAAATTCGTTAACTGACTGGTCTAAAATGTCTACATTTGCGGACTTACTTGTCTAAAAGGGTCTAATTTGCCGACTAAATGAATAAAAAATTAATTGATGATCGGGTGTCTCAACCCCCACACGCGCTTTTCGCCAGACTTGTATTTGCCAACTATTTTATAGCATATATATATATATATATATATATATATATATATATATATATATATATATATATATATATATATATATATATATATACAAACAAAGCTGATGCAGTTTTAATTGACCTGCTAGTTCTAATATCGAATACTGAATATTGTAAATGAGTTGATTTTTATTTGTTATGAATTATTATTCCACGGTTGAGTATAATTTCATTTTTCATAGTAATGTTATTCTAAAACCAGCTCGGCTAATTACAACTAAAGTTTTATTAATTTCATTTTTTAGTTAACAAGATACAAAATGAACGAGAAACGAAAATGAGCGAGAAACAAAAGCAAAGTACTTTTAAAAAACTGTTGATGAAAAACAAGAAAATTTGAGCTAGGTTAGAGCTCACCACCTCAACACCTTTAATGAATAAAAGATATTTTTCTCCTACATAGTAGCCTGCAAGCTGCATGTCATCCACTTCTGGGTTTTGTTTATTAAGAGTTGAGGGAGGATTTAAATTATACGCCATTAAAAGATTTTCATCATCATACTCCTAAAATAAAAAATAACAATTATTATAAAATCAATAAACATGATTTTGTACACTCTTAAAAAAGTTCAGGCAAACTCTGGCCGGAATGGTTCAGGTAGAAAGATTTACCTGAACATTCAGGCAATTAAATTCAAACATTCAGGCAAATTCCCGTAAAAGTTCAGGTATTTTAGCAAACCACCTGAACACTTTGTGTAAAATTCCTGAAATGTTCAGGAAAAAGTAGTTTCGTCAACTTTTCTACCGGAATGTTCAGGTTCTTTACCGGAAACATCAAGTAAATTGCCTGAAAATGTAAAAAAATTTTACACGCCAGCGGCAATCGCCATTAAACTTTTTAGAGGTCGCATGTGCATGCATTCTCTTATTTTAAATTTTTTTAATAAAAATGAGCTTTAAAAAGTTGTCAGAGTTACAGTTAGCAGAGTATTTGTTATCAAAAAGAATATCTATAGATGCTACAGAAAAGCTTAAAAGTAAGCTACCTTTTCATCTTTTTCCGAAAATATTTCGCGTACGTACGTAAAAGAGATGTGTATTGTGTATATAATATATATAGTCTTGAGAACAAGAGTAGTGTATATATACTTCTCTTTCTCTATATACTATATATACACTTCACTTGCTCTCAAGACATATTTGAATTATATACATGTATGTATGAGTGTATAGATATAAAGAAGGTAAGATATAAACATATGATATAGTATATCATATTATTAACATATATACTATTTAATATATAGTATATATATAATATATATCATGTCACTATATATCACTGTATATACTATACATATATACTATATATATATATCATGATAATATATTATATAAATAGTTTATTTATAATATAATTATAATGATAATATATTTATCATATTAGTATGATATACACTATATATAGTGTATATCATACTAATATGATAAATATATTATCATTATAGTTATATTATAAATAATATAGTATATTAGATAATAATAGTATAATAGTATTGTATTAGATAATAATAGTATATTAAATAATATAATATAATAGTATACTACAATATAATATTGAAATAGTATACTATATGGATATATTGTATACAATATGATATCGATATAATATACTATTTCAATATTATATTGTCGTATACTATTATATTATATTATTTAATATACTAGTATATTATAATATTATGATAATATATTATACTGATATGATAAATAATTGTGATTTTAAAATAAATACAGAATGTGACTATAGACTATATGGTGTTTATTATAAAAGTTATGTATTATGTGATGTGTATAATTTATAAACTTTACAAATAAAAAGATGTGCATACAATGAAATTTATAAGTTTCATTGTATGTATATCTTTTTATTTATAAAGTTTATAAATTATACACATCACATACTACATAACTTTTATGATAAACACCATATAGAATGTGATGTGTATAGATGTCAAAATATATTTATATTATTTATCATATCGATATAGTATATTATAATAATATGTTAAATTTACAAAGTCTAACTTAGTTCAACTAAGTTTAAGTTTGTAAAAAAAAAAGAAGTAAATAGTTAAAGTAAATAAGTAATAGATGTGCACTTGGATTTTTGAATTCTACTATTTTTATAAAGTGCTGGTTGCAATAATTAGTCCAAAATATAACTGATTATAAACTGTATAAATTGTATTAAAATATGAAAAAGTGTCTTTTAACTCTATTAAAACAAAGATATATAGTTCTTTTACTAAATATACTATTGATTATTATTTTAGATGAAGAAATTGACGGGACAGCTTTTTTGGAGTTGAACGCATTATTGCTGCATGCAATGGGCATCAAAATGGGCCAGGCCATTAAAATTCAAGCCATAATTGAGGGAAAAAAGGTGAAAAATATAATTGTAATAAAATATGGAGCTCAGAAAATATTATTTATTTTTTATTAAAAATATATTTTTAGTTAAATATAAATTATGATGATTAAATTAATGCATTAGTGTAACATTATTTTTATATTTTACATGATATTTTTCAGGGATTTTTACGACTGAGTTGTTACTTGTGCACAAAAAAATTTCAATCCACTAATGATTATACTTATCATTTAAGAAACACGCACCTGTTGTTTGAACCTTGTTTTTTACGATGCAATGCTGATGGTTGCATGCGCACATTCACACTTTATAAAGTGTTATGTAAACATTAAAAAAACTCATATGTGTCATAATAATTTGAAAGAAGTTGATAAACATTCAGATATTACTGTCCAAAATACAGAAAATGAATACTTAGCTGAAGATTACAATGAGGTTTTATATTCTGAAAGTTTAACAAAAGAAAGTGTAGCAAAAGAAAGTGTTTTTATTGCACCTATTGTAGACGAGTATGGTGTTTCACACGCAGCATTAAAATTTTTGATGTCTCTGCAATCTTCTAGTTCCATTTCTCTAAGCGTATCTCAGTTCATAATGGATAGTTTAAATGAGTTGTTAAAGGATATTATTAATTATCTGCTTGCCAAGACAGACGTTGTGTTAAAAACATACAGATGTGATGCCGTAACATTTAATACTCTTTCAGAAGAATTTAACAACTGGAAAAATCTTTTTAAAGGCATTGATACTCATTATAAAATGTTGAATTATCTTAAAGTAAAAGGTCTCTATGTTGAACCTGAAGCACATTCAATAGGAGATCGGTGGGATGTTAAGCGAGACAGATCAACAAAGCAACAAATGCAGGTGTGTGTAAAAAATAAATTTTACCTTATACCAATTGAGAAAACTTTGAAATTGGTTTTGCGACAACCTGAGACTTGGAAAATTTTAAAAAGAAACAATGAGTCAGCAAATGATATAGCAGAAGATTGGTTAGACGGTAAGCATGGGAGACAGCTAAAAACATATGCCAAACATTATTTTTCTAACAGCATTCATGTATTTATTCAGATTTATTTTGATGAGGTAGAGACAACAAATCCGCTTGGATCCAAAACTGGAATACATAAGTTAGGTGCATTTTATTTCACAATAAAAAACTTTCCACCAGCTGCAAATTCTGCATTAAGCAATATTCATTTGTTGGCCTTGGCACATTCGGAAGACATTAAACGGTACACCACTGATCCTGTTATGGAAGTTATTGTTCAGCAATTAAAAGACTTACATGATGAGGGCTTTACTGTTTTTTGTGATGGAAAAGAGATAAATTTTCGTTGTTTTTTAACACAAGTTGTTGGTGATAATTTAGGGCTACATGCAATTCTTGGATACATGGAAAATTTTAGCAGTGCTTCATTTGCTTGTGACTTGTGTATGGCAACTCAGGATGAGATGCAAAAAGTATTTTGTGAATATTCTCTTACAATGAGGACACAACAATCATATGAGCAACATATTGAGCAGCTTAATAATGGTACCATTTCATCTAAAGAGTGTGGCATAAAGCGTCCCTCAACTTTAAAAAGTTTGAACTATTACCATCCTGCTTGTAATGACTCAGCCGATATAATGCATGATTTGTTTGAAGGTGTAATTCCGTTTGAAGTCAAGTTATTTTTGCGCCACATAATTTATGACTTGAAGCTTATTAATCTCCATGGGCTTAATTGTCGTATTAATACAATGGATTATGGTCTGGTTAGTAACTCAAAGCCAAGTTTTATAAGTGAGTCACATTTAAAAAGTCACAGCTCATTGCTTGGACAAAGGTCAGCTCAGATGCTGATTTTGTTTTTAGATTTACCATGTATTTTAGCTGATGTTATTGACAAAGTAGATAATTTAAAATGGCGTTTGTACCAATTGCTAAAACAGCTGACAGAAATTATTTTATTGCCAAACTCTGTACTGTCGCATGTCTTGTACTTAAAAGATCTTGTATCAGAGCATCATGAGTTATTTAAAATATGTTATCCTGATAAAAGACTTTTATACAAACATCACAGAATGGTTCACTATGGTACTATAATAGAGAATAGCGGACCACTTTTACATATGATGGTAATGCGGTTTGAAGCTAAGCATAACTTTTCTAAGCGTCTTGCTCATATCATTTGTAACTTTAAAAATATAGCGTTTTCTCTCGCAAGCAGACACCAACTTTCTCATGCTTTTGTTTGGATGACTAGATATATATATATATATATATATATATATATATATATATATATATATATATATATATATATATATATATATATATATATATATATATATATATATATATATATATATATATATATATATATATATATATATATATATATATATATATGATTATAATACATTTTTATTCCTTTAATAAACAGAAGTAAATATAAACTGCTTTTTTTTGTAGAAAAACGATAGTGTATTAAAAGACGTAACATGCTTAAAAAATACAACAGCTATAGCTTTCAGTTTAACTGAAACTTTAAACAGCCCCCTTGATGAGTCAGCTGTGTCACCAACATTATCATCGACACTTCAACTTTCACCTGACGTTTTAAACGAGTCAAGAAAAATTAAGTTAAAGGTTGCTTTAAGATTAGATAACATTGACTTTGTAAGTATACCTTATAACTTATAATATAACTTATTTTTTTAAGTGTTTTGTTTATACTTAGTTCATTATTTTACACCACATTATTTCAGCAATTAAATAAATTCTTTTTATAATTTAAAAAAAATAAATTTTCAACTTATACAAATGAAGATCTTTTTATGTAGAACATACGTAGTTTGCTTGATGAGCATCAAACAGGTAAGCTTGTTTTGGCAGAATATGATTCTACAGGTGCACTTATTAAAAGGCGTCAAGATATGATCCACATTGTTGTTAACTCAATGGTCCATAGAGTTGGAAATATGTAAGTTTATGTTTATTTCCGTATTATTATGGAACTATTGACATAACAATGAAAATATTAGTTTATAACAAATTATTTATAAAGTTATTTATAAAAATTATCAAACATTTGCTTATAATAAATTTTAAATATAAAAATATTTTTGTTAATATATATGTTTTAGGTATCCTTCTACAAAAACCAAATCTAATCTTGCAAAAGCAATTATCACTGCCTTTCCAAAGCTGCATTCTGGTGGAAAACTTGGATATGTGAGACTATTAGAGACATTTTACTAATTTTTTCCCCTTATATATTTCACCTCCCCAAAATAAGGGCCACTTCAGTCGAGGAGGATACTAATTATTACTAGTAGTAAACTTATCATTGTTGTAAGTAGTAGTATCTTTACAATTTGTCAATTATAGGTCAAGTTGTCTGTGAGGTAATGAAATCTAATTTTACAAAAAAATATTATTTTTAGGAAAACTATTATAGTCTATATACAGAATTTGTAATGAGTAATAAGAAAAAGAAGGTCACTCCTCATGGCCACATAGAAGAGAGACTGAAAACTATGCGTAAACATGTTGGTGTTCATTTTCAAGCTCGTCGAAAGAGAGTTATTGTTTTAGCAGAAGAGTTCCACTCATCAGGTACTTTAATGCTTAGTATATTTTTCATGCACTCTTTCTTCATTTAATTAAGACATTTACCTAATACTCAATATTGTAATTAGTTTTCCTAATAAATTATATAAACAATTAGCAAATAAACAACTAGCTAAAAAAAAACATTTTAAATATATCTAAAGATTGTAAAATATTTTTAATTTATAAATTTATTTTTTTTAGCACCTTTTTCAAAAGAAGAACTAAGTATGATTGCAGAGTTGAGATTTGATGACTTAAAATAAAATGTATTTAATAACTATACATGTTATTAACATTATTATACAGAAAAATGCCCCGTTGAGAGTCGGACTCTCAAGGGAAGGGGAATACATAAATAGTTTGACTTAGCGAATGTCCGAGTTATGCGAAGTTCTGGGTATGTAGAGAGTTCAAGGGGAATTGAAAATCTGTACGACTTATCCAAGGTCCAAGTTAACGGGATTCTACTGTATTTTTAGTCATTAAATATAGTAAATATAGTATTAGTTCTAATGGGCTGACATTTATATTTATTTTGTATCAAAATTACCTTTTTTAATGACTTATTTTAATTTCATTTCTACATCTAAATAGGCATCAACTCCGATGGAAATTGTGCTTCAAAGTCTTACTCACTAGCATCAGTTAGTCATAGCTTTGGGTACTCATTGCAGTGTCGGTCAATTATTTATTGTTACAGAGTGTCGAGCTATTCCTGTCAACAGATGTATATCTTATGCTGTTGACATCTTAATTAAACTTTATTTTTTAATGAACATGGAGTATGCGGAACAATGTAGCCACATATTGTACTTTTTGCAGCATACCGTGTTAGGTTACCAAGATGAAATGCATCTATCGAGAGGAGCGAGTGACTTGTCCCTTTACCTTAGACAAAAACTTAATCAATTTTAAACGCAGAAACAATTATATTTTGGTTATTATTTGCTATATGCATTGTTATTGCTATATTGCTTAAATTTGTATAAATTATACTTTTAAATATATTGACTTTCTGAAAATAAAATATCGTTTTTACAACTAAACCGTGTTAATTTATAATCACGATTTTGAATTTTTACTATCTTCAGGCCTAATAAAAACTAATACCGCTTTTACGCTTAAACCAAGTTAGTTTATAATCGCGGTTTGGAATATTTACCCTTTCAGGTAAAACTTTTTTAAGAGTGTAATAATTGTTATTGATGTAAAAAAGCCCAACAAAACAAATTAAACCCTTTAACTGAACAGGAAAAAATATTTTATTTTAATACTCTATTATGACTTACTTGTGGCGCCAATACATGCACTCGCCAATACGTATGATATATATATATATATATATATATATATATATATATATATATATATATATATATATATATATATATATATATATATATATATATATATGCACACTATCTTTAACACTAATTCATTCGGAGATTCGATTTTTAAAACTTTTTATAAGATTTTTCAAACAAACCTTAGAAATACCGCTCCATGTTGGTTGAATAGAAGTTTTAAGTTCTTGTATCGTATTGTACTGTCGAGAATTTCCATATATAGTTCGTGCCAATTTTCCCATAAATTTTCAATAGGATTCAAGTCGGGTGAACAGGATGGCTAATCCAAAACACGTATATTTATTTTCTGGAACCACTGTATTACACTTCGTGACGAGTGAATCGTCGCATTATCTTGTTAAAAAATCCAATTCTCACTAGGCAAACTTTTATTAAACTTGATTAAAACATCCTCTAAAAAATCTTTGTAATTTCATGCATTCCCTTTTGTTGAGCCACAAGGTAATCACGAGGTTTCTCATAAATGAATCAGCAAATAGAGGCTGACCAACAAAAGAGTTTGATGAATCGAGTTTTCGCACCAGAAGTCGATTGATAGTGAATTTATCATTCGATTTAAAAACGGAATCTGTCGAAAAATTATTGTTAGTGGCGCAAAGAATAGTATTTAAGTTGGTATTAGATAATATAGATCAATTATGTTAGAGTATAAAAAGGAAAGCAAAGAAGTAGTATTAAAAATTAAGGAGGAAATTTTAAAAAAATTCTTAATTTATATCCTGTTAAAGTTTACTTTTCAGGACATAAGTATTTATGTCCTGGAAAGTAATTAAAATAATAAAAAAATGTTATTATAAACTTTTGTCTTTTCAATGATTGATGGGAAAATCTTAGTTTACATCACGGACACTTCTTCGACACAATTTTGTCCGATTTGTCACGCCACATGATGAGTGATCTAAAAATCTTTAAGGAAGGTTTTGCTACAGATGGACAGGCATTGTGCAACGGCATTTCACCACTTTATGCTTGGATAAGGTTTTTTGAATTTATTTTACATATTTCATATAGAATTGAAATGAAAACTTGGAAAGTAAAAAAGGTTTTAAAAGATCAATATTTATTGAGAAAAAAAATTATTCATGAAGGAAAATGTTTGAGGAATTTGGTTTGAGAGTTAATGAACTAAGAGCTGGGGGATAAAAAACTAGTAATACCGGAAATTTATGCCGACGAGCTTTTTCTAACCCTCTATTACTAAGCAAAACTTTAGAAATAGATGAAGAAATTATTATCAGATTACATAATATTCTAATTGCAATCTATTACAAAGACCCAATTGATCCAGAAAAAAATGATAAATACTGCAATGATACATATAAGAAGTTGTTAGAGACATATAATTGGTTCAAGGTCCATGCTTCCGTTCACAAAGTATTAGCACATGCCGGGAAAATTATTATTAGTTTACCAGTTCGACTTGGTTTAATGGGAGAGGTTGCAGTTGAATTTCGACACAGAATTTATAAATTTTGATCGTGAACATCATGCAAGGAAAAAATGTAGAGAAACTTCTTTGACATTTTCATTCGACCTATACTTCTGATCCCTAATTAGTTCAATCTCATTAACTAAAAGATTGAAAAAAAAATATTGTGTCTACCGGAAAAAGTTATAAGTTTGTTAGCAGTTTATAGCAATGATAAAGAAAATTCATCTGAAGTGGAATCAGATGAAATTAATGACTTAGATGAATTATATTTAAATGTTAACAACATAGACGAAAATCTAGAATTCAATATAGACGAAAATCTAGAATTCAATATAGACGAAAATTTAGAATTGAATATAGACGAAAATCTAGAATTGAATATAGACGAAAATCTAGAATTGAATATAGACGAAAATCTAGAATTGAATATAGACGAAAATCTAGAATTGAATATAGACGAAAATCTAGAATTGAATATAGACGAAAATCTAGAATTGAATATAGACGAAAATCTAGAATTCAATATAGACGAAAATCTAGAATTCAATATAGACGAAAATCTAGAATTCAATATAGACGAAAATCTAGAATTCAATATAGACGAAAATCTAGAATTCAATATAGACGAAAATCTAGAATTCAATATAGATGTAAAAGAATAAAATTCTAAACTGTATAATCTGTACGATATGTACAACTTTACATTTGTTTGCTTACTATATAAATTTAATAAATACATAAAAAATACTAAATGAAATATTATAATAATTGCATTCGGTTCAAATCACAAGAGTTTGGAAACAAGAGTATCTCAAAAGTATATTTATTAGTTTTTTATTATTAGTTTTTTATTATTAGTTTTATTATTATTTATTATATGTTGAAAATTAAAACGACAAAATTTAATCCTCATTTAATAATCTGTTAAAGTTAAAAAAAATAACTGTAGTAACTATAATAAAGTTTATTTATAACTTACATCCTCATAACAAAATCATAACTTATACCCTCATAACATGATCATAACTTATACCCTCATAACATAATCATGACTTACAGAGAATAAAAGATTATTTGTTGAAATTTAAAATCTGTCAATGATTTTAAATTTAGTATAAGATAGCAGCAAAAATCTTTTTTTAGACTCATTGTCCTCATTATCATTATTATTATCAATATTATTATCATTATTATTATCATTATTTTTTGTCTAAACAAGAGTTTTAGATGTTATAATTTTTTTTTTGCTTCATGTTTTTTTAATTGTTAAAGAAACTTTTACTTTTTTTTATATATAATTTTCAAAACCTTATTACTATCCCTAATAGCAAAAAATTCAAAATGGTGTTCTCCAAAAACTCCAAAATGGTGTTCATTAGAACACCATTTTAGAGTTTTTTCTTAAGATCATTTTGGAGTCTTTAGATCACTTTCGCTCATCAGTATTAACATGAATTTAGTTAAAATCTTTTCAAAAAGTGCCTTAATACACTATAGATCTTAGTTCTAATCGGTTCCGACGTATATTAACTATATATAGTTATCAAAATACATTATTTCTATCAATTTTCACAAAAAATATTAGAATTTCGACTAAGAAAGAGCATTTAATTAAAAAAAAGTTGCCAACAAATGATCAGAACAGATCGTATTATTAAACTGTAAAATAATGTTCATTTCATCTAAAAAGCATATTTATTTAAAATCTTATTCAAATGTGGATAAACAATCGTGATTTTAAGATGATTCAAAAAAAATATTTTTCGATCTGGTTTTTTTGGCTACAAACATTTATATTTTATGATACCGCAAAATTTATCATTTTAATTTTTTTTTGTCTTTTCATAATTCACTGACCTGACCGTTTAATGGAAATATGTCTTAGTCAACAAAATATCATACAGACGCTGTATTATTTTAAAATTGCCTTTACTACTCCTAGTAGGAGTCTTCCATAAATAACGTCACGCAATTTTTGACATCTTCCCTCCTTCTCGTCTCAAAGTCGTAACACTTTAATAACAAGTAAAAAAAACGGAGACGGGTTTATTAGTTTTTTTCTTTATTAAGACATAGTTTGAGGTTCTTTAAGTATTTCTATTGCAACTTATGCGCAACAAATTTCTCTCGAAGTTTTGATATTTTTAGAAATTTTACTTTTTTTAGAAATTCTTTCCCATTCGTTTGTTATAGTATATATTACCTTTATATGCTATGTATGTAATATCTATAGAAATTTAAAAATGTTTTATTTTGTATTATAGAAATTTTGAAACGATTAAAAATTATAATAGTAGTTCAATAAGTAACAATTTTACAAATAAAAAAAATTCACTTTTTTGTGTGTAAATTTGCGAGGTACCCCATATCATTCCCGTACCAATCTATAGTTAATTTTACGGGAATGCAACTAAATCAAAACTGAAACTAAAAACAAAACTAGTTTTGTTTGTAGTTTCAGTTTCGACTTCTGTTTGAGCGTAACAAGGCCTACTCAAGTTAAGGAATTTGTTTTTGTTGTGATTTGTTTTACGGTTTTTTTCTATGTAATGTCAGGCTTTTTTGTTTGTTATTTTTCGTTAAATTAAAGGTCAAATGATAATATATATATATATATATATATATATATATATATATATATATATATATATATATATATATATATATATATATATATATATATATATATATATATATATATATATATATATATATATATATATATATATATATATATATATATATATATATATATATATATATATTATATATATTGATTCTTTGCAATGACATCGCAAATGGCGGACGCTTTTTTCAAACGGATAAAAACAACTTTTTTAGAGAGGAAAAAAGAAAGAAAAGAAAACATTTATAAATTAAGCCAATAATAAAATCAACTAAAAATAAATATTTTAAAACAAGAAAAGATCATCTGAAAGAAAATAAAGAAAGAAGTATAGAAAATAGAAGTAAAAATGAATGAAATAAATAAAAAGAATGGAAAAAAAGGAAAAAAAAACTTTATGCATCGAAAAAAGATCGGAAAATGAAGATTTTTTTATTTTTTCATATATTTCTTTTGTTTTATTTCATGTATTTCTTTAGTTTTCTTTCATATTTTTTTAGGATTCATTGTTTACGATTTCATTTTTTATTTAAGCGGTCTTGTAGTAATGATTTTTATTTAGTTTTTTAGCGTATAAAAATTTACTTATTATTTTTTGTTAGTCATTTATTGTTTTATTTTTTAGTTATTTAATTATTTTTAAATAGTGATATCTAATTTTTTATAGTGTTATATATTTTTTGTTTTTATTTTCGTTTTAAGCATTTGTTATAAATGTTTTATTCTACCGTGTATTATTATTACTTTTTTTTTTTCTTTCTTTCTTTATTATTTCTAATTTATGTTGTTCTTTTCTTGTAGTTGTTGATGTTTTTTTTTTTTTTATTGCCAAATGAACTTAACGTAAATTTTTGTTTTGCTTGTAATGTTTGTTGTAACTTTTGTTTTGCTTTGATTTTCTCAGTATTTTTCTTTTTTGCATTCTATTTATTTGCTATGTCATATTATTTGCTATATGTTTCGGTTATTATAAGAAAAATATATTTACTAAATCTGTACAATTTTTTTAGCAGTGGTTGTTTTTATGTCATCGTTAGTTGTTACGTTTTGTCAGTTAATTACTGTTTGTAACTGTAACTTTGTATGTAATAACGATTGTTGTATGGAAAATTTTACTGATTTATTTAAATTATTTTAATTAGTATATTATTATTACTATTGTTAAAATAAAATGTTATTATTATTATTTATTATTATTATTAATATTATTATTATTATAAATATTATCTTTATTATTATTACTATTTTAATCGTTATCATTAGGTGTTTACGTGAAGTTAGTAGTTTATACTATTTGTAAACAACCTTGAAATGTATGTAAGACCAAATATTTCAGAAAATATATATTGATATTGATATTGATTGATATATATATATATATATATATATATATATATATATATATATATATATATATATATATATATATATATATATATATATATATATATATATATATATATAATAATAATAATAATAGAGTTTGATTATTTGAAAAAATACAACTTTTTGATGGTACTTGAAGTTTCATGCCCTTCGGCAATCATCAGCCATATTTTATTCTTTTAAAACAAGAAAAAACCGTTAAAAAAATACAAAATACAAAAATTAACAGAAAAAACAGTAACAAAGCAATAGAATGAGTTCTGACGTCAAAACAAATTTTTAATTAGAAAATTGTTTAATCGGCCGTGTCGAAATGGGCGAGAAGAAACTTGTTTCGATGCCTGCACTTGGATATCATTTCACTTTTTTTTGTTAATTAGATTTTTATTTTTGGAAAACAGAATTTGATATTTTTCATTTATACACAGTTTGCAAGACTTCATGGTTGGATTGTAAGCATTGCACTGCTTAATTATTTTCCATTTAATAACTGGATTTAAATTTGCATCTTTCAGTTTCCAAAATTCTTTTGATAGTTCAGTGTCATTTTTGTATTTTAGAATGGTAAAAGATTTTATATGGTTGGTATATCTAATTTTGAATGGTGTTTCGCTTATACCGATGTATAGTTTGTTGACAGGAGTGGTAGTAGGATTAGTTGAACTTATTTTAGCTTGGTATACAACGTTTTTTGTTAAGCATTGGTTTGATAGAGGGAAGGTGCTTTTATTAAGGCAGTTGCAATTGGTTTTAGGTGGATCTTTTTTGTTGTTCATAATTTGTCGATTGTGTGCATTTAGGATAGATTTCATGTTCGGCATACAGCTATAACTTACTTTTATGGTGTTTCTGTTGAAGATTTTGTGAAACTTGTGATTTATTGGGAAGTGTTTGTTGACTAAAGTTAAGAAGCTTTTTCCTATGTTAGTGCTTACATTTTTGCTGAAAGGTGGGTTAAACCAAATGATGTTGCGTTTACGGTTTTTTGTATAAGGTGAATTTAAATTAGGGTGGTATGAAAGTTTATGATTAAAACCGGACTTTAACAGTGCGTCATTGTATGCAGAAGTAGATCTTTGGAAAATTTCTTCATTTGAGGAATTTGCAGACAATCTTAACTCAATTGAATGCGGAAGCTGTTTAAAATATTTGGCGGGTGGTTTGAATCAGTATGAATATAATTTAAAGAATTTCCGGGCTTAGAATATGGTTGGAAAGTATGGTCATTTAGATTTAATGTGACGTCGAGGTAATTTACAATTTTCATGTTGCATTGTATTGATATATTGAGTTCGTTTTTTTTAAATATTTCAACAAGATGTTTTTTAATTTTTTCCATTTGGGGCCACTCATATTTTTAAAAACTGCTAAGCCGTCATCGCGGTATAGTCCGAAGTTTTTATTATAAACCTGTGCAACTTGAGACAATAGATAAATTCCCACGAGTTCACAAACTTCAGCACCGTCAAATGCTCCCATTGAAACATCAAATTAACCGCCTGATTTTTTAATCCAAACTTGATCATCATTATGTAATAATGACTTCCTTGCGTGATAGATCAATGATTTATGGTTAGGGTTAATATTTAGACGTTGTTCAGCGAAATGGATAGCATTGTTGAGTAATTTTTCTGTTATTGATGGGTAAAAATCAACAATGTCAAAAACAAGGAATTTATAAAGGTGTTTATTACTGGTGCAATTAAACCAGTTTGTGGTATCTTGTGTTTTTTTCCATTGATTGAGGTGAAGTTTATTGACAAGTTCAGAGTTTATATTAGAAAGTATAACTTTACTAATTCTGCCGATTTCATTTTTGGCGGGGTTTAATAAACGGACATATAGGCTCAGATTTGAAAAAAAAATTAAACATATGTAAGCATATTCCTGAGTCTTGATAAACCATTTAAAAAATTTTATTTTTATTTAATTAAAAATTTTAAATGTATAAATTTCTAAACAATTTTTTATAGCAAAAATTGCTATAAAAACAAAAATAATAAAACCTTTTTTAAAAGTTAACTTTTTAGTTTTAACTTCTACTAAACAGCAAAAAAAAAGCGGTTTAAAACAAAGAGCCAATTAAGCTTAGATAGTTTAATTATAAACTATGAAGGTTTAGTAGAAAGTTTAGCATTTTTTTTTTTTTTTTTACAAACAGATTTTTGTTAAAACACAGCTTATACATTGTTCACTAAGATTGTCTGCAAATTCCTCAAGTGAAGAAATTTTCCAAAGATCTACTCCTGCATACAATGACGCACTGTTAAAGTCCGGTTTTAATCATAAATTTTCATACCACCCTAATTTAAATTCACTTTATACAAAAAACCGTAAATGCAACATCATTTGGTTTAATCCACCTTTCAGCAAAAATGTAAGCACTAACATAGGAAAAAGCTTCTTAACTTTAGTCAACAAACACTTCCCAATAAATCACAAGTTCCACAAAATCTTCAACAGAAACACCATAAAAGTAAGTTATAGCTGTATGCCGAGCATGAAATCTATCCTAAATGCACACAATCGACAAATTATGAACAACAAAAAAGATCCACCTAAAACCAATTGCAACTGCCTTAATAAAAGCACCTTCCCTCTATCAAACCAATGCTTAACAAAAAACATTGTATACCAGGCTAAAATAAGTTCATCTAATCCTACTACCACTCCTGTCAACAAGCATCGAAACAAGTTTCTTCTCGCCCATTTCGACACGGCCGATTAGACAATTTTCTAATTAAAAATTTGTTTTGACGTCAGAACTCATTCTATTGCTTTGTTATTGTTTTTTCTGTTAATTTTTGTATTTTGTATTTTTTAACGGTTTTTTCTTGTTTTAAAAGAATAAAATATGGCTGATGATTGCCGAAGGGCATGAAACTTCAAGTACCATCAAAAAGTTGTATTTTTTCAAATAATCAAACTCTATTATTATTATTATTATTGATCTATTTTGTAAACATTATATTGATCACTCTCAAACGAACAAGAGACTTTTGTATCTTAATTTGGTACAATAAAACAACAATATATATATATATATATATATATATATATATATATATATATATATATATATATATATATATATATATATATATATATACAGGGCCGCCGCCTGGGGGGGGGGGGGTCACCGGGTATTTTTTACCTGGGCGCAGGATCATGAGGGGCGCTCAAATGATAATTTTTTTTTTATAAAATAGATACACAGGGCTTCAATGAAAAACTTTTCAAACTGCTATTTTTAAAATATAAGTTTCAAATGTATTGTTAACTTAACAATACAGTATTAGTCGAACTCATATGCAGGAGTCTGAGTCTAGTCAAAATTGATGCGGGAAAATATGCTTTGTTTATATATATATATATATATATATATATATATATATATATATATATATATATATATATATATAAACATATATATGTTTATATATATATATATATATATATATATATATATATATATATATATATATATATATATATATATATATATATATATATATATATATATATATATATAGATATATAGATATATAGTTAGATAGATAGATAGATAGATATATAGATAGATAAATAAGGTTAAAGTACATTGTATAATTGAGATTCTTACATTTAATATAGTTTTACTAAGTATCATAAAAATAGTTTTCAATCAAATTCAAAACTTTCTTAAAAACAAAACATGTTCAGTTTCAAGAAAAAAGAACCTGGCTGTCAAAACAGAAAAAATGCGACAAATAGGACAGCAAATGAGCAAAAAATAAACGTACGCTTGAAGATTGTGGTATCCAAGTTAAAAAAAGTGACGGGGATAGGCCTACAGTTTCCAGATTGATATCTTTAAATTCCTCTCAATCACTTCAAGTTTTTGGAATAGTAAGTTCATTTCTCTAAACATAACCTTCTTTTTTATATATCTTTTCTATTATACTATTATTATATTAATCAAGATATTTTTAAATATTTTACTTTATTTTCTATAGGATAGCTTTGAAAACGATTCTTGTAAAATTTTGTTGAACTCAGAAGAACCACTTCCTCCTTCGAGTGGCACGTTGGCAATATCGGCAACAAGAGTTGAAAATGAAAACAATATTTTGGTAAAATTTGCTTCGCAAAGATTCTTTAATTATTTTTGTGAATTTGTGAAAATTATATACTCATTCAAATCTTTATTTAAATTATTAGCATAAAGATAAGTTGGATGAGGCAATTTCTACAAACGATCCTGCTTTGTGGGCTGAAAATATGTCTAAAGTAGAACGCGATGCAGTTGTTCTTCAGGGGCCTCCTAAAAATCCTTTATCTTTACCGAGAGACTCAAACAAGATTAAGGTTCCTGAATCAGTTTTCCACGAAATAACTCGTAATGGGGAGAAAATAAACAGAGATTGGCTTGTTTGGAGTGCAACTTCAAAATCATTTCTTTGCTTTCCGTGCTCACTTTTCGGAAGCAAACAAGCCTGCGGGGCTGGTAATAATTCACATCTTCTACGTTGGAATGGTGGCATCAATGGAAACTGGAGAAAGCTAGCTGAAAAAGTAAAAGGCCACCAAAACAATCCTCACCATCGAGACAATTACATTAAGTGGAAAACAGCGCTGGAAAGCTTGGGAAATCAATGTGGGATTGATTCAAGTTTAAAAAAATTGATAAGAAATGAGGCAGCCAGGTGGCGTGAAATTTTAAAGTGCATTTTAGATGTAATTCTCTTCTTAGCATCACGCAACCTTAGCTTCAGAGGTATATTTGTGAACAATTATTATTATATTTATGTTTACGTTATAATTTATTTTTACTATAATTAAACAGAAAGTCATGATTTATATGTGTAATTAAAATCGATATTTTAGGCTCATCAAAAATGATCGGTGATGACGATAAAGGCAACTTTCTTGCAACTCTAGAGCTACTTGCAAAGCACAACAAGACTCTTCAGTTACATCTAGAAGAGTTTTCTTGCTGCCAACAAGAAGGTAAACAAATTATTGCGCATTATTTGGGTTGGAGTTCTCAAAATGAATTTATAAAAGAGTGCGGAAGAATCGTCTACGGTGCCATCATTAAAGAGGCGCATATGGCAATTTACTATTCTATTCTTGTCGACGGAACGCCTGACGTCTCTCATACAGAGCAAATTGCATTTGTTCTCCGCTTTGTCTACTATGGTATTGATAAAAAATGGATAGTTAAGGAGCGCGTTCTTGGGGTCGAAAGTCTCGATAAAAAGAAAGGTGTGGATATTGCTAAGCTAATTATAGATGTCTTAAACCAAAATGACATTGATCTGAAGAACTGTCGAGGTCAGGGATATGACAACGGTGCTAATATGTCTGGTGTGTACAAAGGAGTACAAGCGATCATTCTTCAGAGAAATCCTCAAGCTTTCTACATGCCATGCAGCACTCATAACCTTAATTTAGCTGGTGTTCATTCACTTAAATCTTCTGTAGAATTGAAGAACTATTTCGGTCGTATTTAGTTACTCTACAATCTTTTTAGTGGAAGCCCTATACGATGGAAAATCTTGACCGAGACGACTGGTTTGTCTCTACATCAAACTTCACAAACCCGATGGAGTGCACGCATTGAGGCTGTGAAGCCGTTGGTTAAGCAACCCAGAGAAATTCTTTTATCTTTGCAGAAACTTCGTGATCTTAATTTAACTGCTGATCTATTGATTGACGTAAAATCTTTAGAGAAATGGATTCAGTCATTTGAGTTTATTATCATGACAACCTTCTGGTTCAAAGCGCTGCAAGCAATAAACTATGTCAGCGTGTCATTTCAATCAGAAAACATTACTTTAGATGATGAGATGAAACTTATGAAGATTCTTATTGAGGATCTTACTAGACTTAGATCTTCTTGGCCCGAATTAATTAATGAAGCACATTTAGTTGCCTCCGGTCTAACTAGTTATGAGTTTTAGTCAAAACTAGTTCAAAAAAGGACAAGAAAGAGGAAAACTTTTTCAAAGAAGCAAGGCACGAAGTTCATTTCTTAGAAAACGATGAAAAGCAGTTTGAGGTGAATGTATTCAACACCGCTCTCGATACTTTAATTCAACAAATAGAAGACAGATTTCAAGCTGCAGAAAAGACAACTAACAGTTTTTCTTTTCTATGGCTCTCAGAATCTAATAGTAGGTCGAGTGAGGAAAAAGAAATTGAACAACCTAGCCTGGAGGAAAAATGTAAAACTTTGGCGCAAATGTATGTGAACGATGTAGATGAAGACAAACTTATTTTTGAGGTCCGTCATCTGGATACTCTAAAGCGTGCCAATCTTTTCGGTCCAAAAGAATATCTCACTTCAATTAAACTATTAAATGGAATTTATCAAAAAGGTTCTAGAGTCTATTTTCGAATCAACATGCATTTTATTACGTATTTTTAACACAATTCCCGTTTCCATCGCCGAAGGAGAGCGGTCTTTCAGCAAGCTTGGTCTAGTCAAGACAACACTAAGATCTACAATGAGTCAAGACCGGCTTACCAATCTCTTAGTTATATCTATTGAGCACGATCTAGCAAAAAGTCTGTGCTACGACGAGGTCATTGAAAATTTTGCTTTAAATAAAGCACGGAGAGTCAAATTCTTATAAAGCATTTAAAATATCTATTACATTTAAAATTTACAGTTGCTCGCAATATAATAAAGTTAATTTGTCAACTTGTGCTTCTTTCTTTACCTTTTTTCAAACTTATTTAAAAAATATATAGAAGCCTTCTCGACTGTAACTACCTTCTCGGCCTCTTAAAGTGAGTTTTAAAAAGTAAAACTTAAAAAAAACTTAGCATTTGGACCGTATCTAAATTTTTTTTGATTAGGTCAATATGACAGGGCGCTAGATAAATTTTGACCCCAGGCGTCATAAAGGGACGCGGCGGGCCTGTATATATATATATATATATATATATATATATATATATATATATATATATATATATATATATATATATATATATATATATATATATATATATATATATATATATATATATATATATATATATATATATATATATATATATATATATATATATATATATATATATATATATATATATATATATATATATATATATATATATATATATATATATATATATATATATATATATATATATATATATATATATATATATATATATATATCTTTTAAAGTCATTTCTTGTTATACGATATATATATATATATTTAATATGTAAGTTGATTTTAATAAAAAGGCAGCGTATAACTATTTTTAAATATATTTTGATGTAAAAATATATCAACGATATTTCGCTGACCTATTGTGGTCAGCGTCATCAGGTAATAATAAAAAACGTTACAAAATAACATAAAAACAAACCGTTTAAAAAGAAGACATTAAAAAGCGTCAAATATAAAAACCAATTAAATATAATAATGACGTCAGTTAAATTTTTGTCAAAATGGGTCCCCAAGTTCTTGTTTTAACCTTATCCCCGTCATCTGGATTTAGAACACCTTTCCCAATACCTATCTCACATCGAACTTTCGCTTTGTTAATCTCCTGAGATTCTCTAATTTTTCGTATCTTGTATTCTTGAATGACTGCCAAGGTCTTAGGATTTAGCCAATCAAAGTTACCACGGCATGTTTTGGAATGTTCCGTGGCTCCTGAACTCGACCATTTTTGATTTTTGCAAGCTCTTTGGTGTTTTGCACTTCTTGAAATGATTTTCTTTTTGGTCTCACCAATATATATATTTCCGCATGAGCATTTAAGTTGGTAAACCCCCGGATTTGAGTTCGGAGGTAGTTTAGTTTTGTTGTTGCATAATATATTACTTAAACTAGGAGCTGAAGTAAATATAACTCTGATGTTTTGTTTTTATGAGTTATTTATGAGTTATGGTACTTAACAATGCGTTTGTTGAGACATTTTTAATTAAAAAAATGTTAATGTCTTCTTTTTAAACGGTTTGTTTTTATGTTATTTTGCAACGTTTTTTATTATTACCTGATGACGCTGACCACAATAGGTCAGCGAAACATCGTTGATATATTTTTACATCAAAATATATTTAAAAATAGTTATACGCTGCCTTTTTATTAAAATCAACTTACATATTAAATATATATATATATATAAATAATAATAATAATAATAATATATATATATATATATATATATATATATATATATATATATATATATATATATATATATATATATACATAAATGTTGTTGCAAGTTTTTTTGTACCAAATAGAGATACAAAGCCTCTTGTACGTTTTTTTAGAGTGATCAACATAATGTAAATTAATTATTTACAAAATAGATCCTCAATTATATATAAAAATTTAACTAAGTGAAAAAATACAACTTTATGATGGAAGCTAAAGTTTCATGCCATTTAGGCAATCATCAGCCATATATATATTTTGTGTATATATATATATATATATATATATATATTTTATATATATTTTATATATATATATATATATATATATATATATATATATATATATATATATATATATATATATATATATATATATATATATATATATGTATAAAAAATGTTTAAAAAACGAGCCATGTTCTCTAGTAAAATTTTTTTATTTCATTCACCTTGTTTAGATCGTACGGAATGATATAAAGTTGAAATCAATTTTGTTGTTTTCATTTTAATATATTAATTTCATTTAAATAAATAAAGAATAAAGTGTAAATTAAATTTACACTTTATCCTATAAAAACATATTCAAAAAATTGTGTCAGTTTTTTTGATTGTATTGCTGTTGCTATTTTTTTTAATGTTGTTGTTGATAAAATGAATGAACTTTTTACATTCAACATTTAGTTAAAAATATCAAAAAATTGTAAACTAATTTTGAATTTCTTTTGTTTCAGAACTAGCAGTTAATACACATACACAGAAAAATAATTACTCAGAAACTGATAATTTATAACTATTATTGCATATTAAGGTCATTATAAATACTTAATTTTCAAAATGCGCACAAGATTATTAAAATGATTAATTCATCAATTTAATTGATGATTCTGTCAAAAAATAATAGATATCTTTCATGCATAGATAATATTTATATATAAAGATTTTTAATTTTTTTTTTAGTTTAGGCAGTACCTATTTATTAAATTTAGTTTGGCAGTATCTACTAGATACTGCCAATCTAAATTTGAGACATCATTTGATGTGTATGCTAAATCCTTGTTTAAGGCTATTGTAGTATGTCATAAAAATGTTTTATGTGTAGCAATATATATACCGTCATACTTTGGCTCAAATTTGATATATGTTTGATGTTTGTTTCTCTCTCATATCTATGTCAATGTAAAAAAAAATTGTTGTTGCTAGTTCATGGACTTATGAATTAGTAATGATCATTGTAGAAAAAAAAAACATTTGGGTATACTCCGATCCCACTTTTTTTGGAGGGTTAAGGTTGGGTTGAAGTAGCCCTTATTGAGGGGATACTTAAACCCATAGTGTAAAAAGTTTTTTTTCTTCAGTTTTTATTGAACGTCACAAAAATACTATACAAAGAAAAACAATTTAAACAAGTTAATACTGCAAATAATGTTAAAGTAAATAAGATCTGGTATACTGTTGTTGAGCATACTTAGTACTAGGAGTACTAACATATTAACTGTCTAGATCTCTACTTTGAAAAAAAATATCTGCTGTTAACAAAACAATTTAAATGATTTAATAATTCAAATAATGTTTAAGTATAATAAGATCTGGCATACTATTATTGTAGCGTACTTAGTACTAGGAGTGCATTATTTGTCAAACTCTTCAATTTTAAAAAGACCTCTGTTGTTAAATGATACCAAGACATTGATATTCTTTTTTATTTCATCGATATTGTAGAAAAGAATGTCTGTTTTTTTTTGGCAACTTCCAGTGATTTTTTTATGGCTCCATCATAGAAACTATGACACTGAAAGGTTCTTTCATACTAACACTTACAATACGACCAGGTTTTTATCATATTCTACTAGCACATATTCATCAACATTGAGTTTTACCTTTTCCATGTTGTCCAGATCTGAACTTTCGCTTATGTTGTCATTGGCAGATATATTTTCATTGCTACTATTAGTTCAGCTACTTTTAATAGCATCGTCTGCAACTAAGCTGGCTTGTTCATTTTCACTATCTGAACCGTCACCATTTTGTTCTGTACTTAGATTTTGAGCAATTCTTTTATTTCTTCTTCTTTGAGTAGGATTGGTAGTGTTGTTCTTTAGTTGTTCTTGGCACATCTGTTTTAATGACATCTTCTGACCCTAAATTTTTTCTTGCTGGAACATTCTTCTCACACGCTTCGTAGTTGGAATATCAGCACTTCTTGATCTTCTCAAAAAGTCAAGAAATGATTGATTGACATTCTCATTAGATCTTCTTGGGGAAAATGTTTTCTGCTGGTACATTTTCTGTTTCATTATCAAGATTATCAAAGTATTCTGTGACT